TCCAGCATAGACAGGGCCTAATCATGTTACCAAGCAGTTGACAAAAGCAGGTGATAGCCTCGGTCTTATTGGTTGCTAGTCCTGCGGAGCTAGGCTACAGCAGGGCATTATAAACTGTTACATAACCTGGTTAAACCTTGTCTGCACTGGGATTTGAAGACACCTGAGCCTCTTTTTAGCAATAGCGAAGCATGGTTCAAAATGCCTGATGGACAGAATGGCAGAGGCGATGCATGTAGCTCCTCACCTGCCTTCCAGCTTCCTGACACATGCTCTTAAGGCAAATGCCGGGAGTTGGGGGGGACCCAAGAGCGGAATGGAATAAACATTTCAGCTGACTATTGTTTAATGAGAACTTCTGTTTGGGAATTTAAAAAAAATAAGCAGTAAGTGTTTGGGAAAGAAGCTGGGTTTTAATGTTAAGCTGCTTATTTAGGTCTCCAAGTGCTGGAGATACAGTATTTCAAAACTAATTAGATTGACAGAGGCTTGGATTCGATTACAGGATTTCCAGCGGCCGAGGGTTTTTTAAATTAAATGGTTACATTTGAAATGGTAGAGAGAATTAAACAGCCACTGCTGCAGCCAATTATTAAACACCTCTAAGAGCTGCTAACAGGGATAATGCTGTCAACCGAAAAGCCTTCGCTGCCCCTTTCAGCCCAAACTGCACCAAGCCCTAAGATGCAGGAGATGGGACCTACTTCCCGGACTGTCTTGACTAACAAAAACACATTAGATGGGGTTTGCTGCTGTCCAAGAAACCAAGTGGTGGTGGGGCACGTCCCTCGCTCCTCTCTGAGCTGCCACGGCAAGTGTTCCCTCTTCACGCTGGAGACTCCAACTTCAAGGCATCCACATTCTTCGCTCTGCCTGGGTGCAGAACAGCAAGGAGGGCATCTGAACAGGGTGGCGGTGCACTGGGGGAGCTGTGGGAAGGACCAGGACTGGAAGGAGAAAGGTGCTGCAGGTCAGGATTAAGGGTTCGCTGCTATAGCAGCTACAGTGCCCAGCATAATCAATCCATGTACTATGCAGCCACAGAGCAAGGTCATTTGACACACTGCATACATAAGGCAAGAGGGTTAGAAATGTAATTTTTAAAGGGGCGAGTCCTACATAGGGAGTCACCTGAACTTAAGCTGAAAACACTTCTTGGAAAAAGTTGGATTTGCCCATGGTTTTTAAAAGCTGGGAGGAACGGGCTGTGCTAGATATTTGAGGGGGGGGCCACCCCAGCAAACCTCTGTCAGCTGTTGGCAAGGAAGAATGGCAGTACTCTGAATAGGCAGGTGCTTTCAATCACAGATACTCACCTGGCCAAGGGCTTTTCTAATGTAACCGGGAGCCTATACCAGGCAAGGGGGTGGAAATCAATGGCTCAACTTTAAAAAATCAATCCGTTCCCTTAAAACAGTGACCGAACGCAGATCCTCGTGCCTCGGCTTGAATGGCTTCTTTTTCACCCTTTGAAAGCTTTAGCCCTGCTTTTCCTATCTCTCAAACACCACCTCGCCCGGTGCAGTCATGGTGGGATGGGCTCACCTTGCCTGGCCACCCTTGGCACCACACACGTGAGGCCCCTGCTCTCTCATAAGGTACAGGCCAATTAAGGTATCAGCTTGGATGAATGTCCCAAAGGGCTTTTATATGAGTTGTCCTCTGTTTGAAAGTTTAACATTTATAGGCACAGCTGGTAGCACCACATATTAAGGTGGCCCTGATGTGTCTCATTATCAGACCCTGCTTTCAGTTGCTTTAACTGTTCAGGTTGAACTTTCTCTTGGGCAAATTTTTTGTGGAAAATTTCAACCAAAATGGTTCAGCCATTTCCAAGAAGGAGAATAAGGAAGAGACATTGGAGGGGGCCTAGAGGAGGGGGGGGGGGAAGTATGTGCTCATGTGATTAAAGACTGTATTATAATGCACGTGCACAAGGGGGCTAAATGAAGATTGTAGCGGCAGCTTTTATTGTGGCAAAGTCAAGCACTCAAGGTAGAATATGAAACCTTAATGTTCTTTTAACATATTGTGTGTGTTACATGGGTATTTATAGATAAAAAAAGCCTCCACTATTCAAATTCTTACATTGATCCGGCTTCCCCTGAGAAAACGGTGAGAGGTAACATCTGCCCCCAGAGGGTGCTAGAGTAACACTTGTAACGCATCATTCAAGGTACAAGTAAGTATCTACTTGTGCCCTCATTTTTTTTCCCCAGCTCTAATTTCATATCTAATCAGTTCCCTGGGAGCTAGTGCATAGCTGGTCTATATATTATCCTGGTCTTGTTTGAGTTTTTCATTTTCCTCTTTCTCTCTCTCTCTCCCGCTCTCCCCATCCCTCCTTTTTTGTCCAGGTACCTGGAAGATAGAATTGCTAAATCTCTATCCACTGATCTGGCTTCACTGAAATGGTTTTTAACAGAATTGGCAACTTTTAACCAGCTTTGTAAAGGACTCTGATCCTTTCCCTTCTTTCTGCTTTGTGCCTTTGCTAGCCCTCCCCTATGTTTGTTTTAGCATTTTCCCTCAGAGGAGGCCTGTTTTTAAAGACTGCAAATTCCTCCAGGCTGGGAGCTGTTGTTTCTCTTTGTTTAGAGAGCTCTATACACACACCTGTGGGGCTGGGTAAAGCAAGTGTATCGTGTTTTTCTTTTGCAAATGCAAAGGTCGGTTAACACATCATTTGACTTCTAGACTCAAAGCCAAATTGTCCCCCTGTGTGTATTATTTCCACCCTGACTGAAGGAAACTCAGTGAGTCTGACTTCTGCGTTTCTTTTCCGTTGCTCTGTTGGGATAGCAATGGCAGTTTGCTCTTCCACTGACCTGGTAGGGGGATTGACCTGGGATCTTCAAGTAGGAGAGGCAGGCCAGAGTCATCCACAGGGAGCCATTGCAGTAAAGCACTCCCGGAATGCTCCTTAACCCCTGCCCAAGGGGGTTTCATGCTGGGGTGGAAGAACTAAGGTAAGCTAAAGCAGGTGTGGTGAGCACTGACCTAGTCCAGGAACAATGTCATGGGCTTCAGCCATTTGCTTGACCCCCACACCTTGCCAGTCATCTCCCATGATGCTTTGTCTCAATTGAGGGGCTTTTTCAGGTTTGTGGGGGAGGGCAATTGGGGAATATCCCACAGAGCTTACCCCCTCCCCCTATATATATATATAGAGAGAGAGAGAGAGTGAGAGAGATGCTGCTGCTTGTCATGATCAGCCACTTTCTACTTCCTGCCATTTGTGGAAACAGAGGGCAGAATTAGACCCTTACTCCACCAGATCCCTGAAAGCACGTGCTGCTTTTATATGGTTGCACATAGGAGGCAGGCAACATCCTGGTGGGGAGCTCTGTATGATGGGTGTGTCACCAAGGACTGAGGCTGGTCTCTGTAGCTGAGGCTGCTTGTCTGTACTGAAATCATTCAAGCAGGCTAACAAGCAGCCTGAGTAGGAGTTAATAACGTACCGAGTCTTGCAGCAAGCAGTCTCTATCTTTATCGCCCAGACCTGCAGGCTCTGTCATATGAATCAGTTTATTAAAAGGAGAAAATAGAGATCTTATGTTTGGTTTTGTTCTTTAAATGAACCTTGCTTCCTCTCCCAGTCTGGTGGGATCACGCTAACAGCGTTTGTTTTACAATCTGCATTCCAACGGCATGTCCCTAAACCAATGTTCTATTGCAGCCGCTACCCCAGCAGTGCTGCGGGGAGCTACACAACTCTCGACTAACCATGTTGTGTCAACAGCCTTCCTACGGAAAACTCCTTTCAGAAAGTCCCTCTAATTCAAACCATTTTCTGTGGGTTAGCCAGATGCCTGGGGGGCTGGATTTCCCCTTGGCTGGGCCATGCATCAGGCTGTGTTGCTCTCCTGCACATTCCAGGTGTGCATAGAGACGGTGTGGACAGACCCCAGGATGCCCTGTAGGGGGCAGCTTGAAGCTGAAAGCCAAAGAGGTCATGGTGTTCCAAACCGTCCCGTTGAAATGAATGGGAAAGCAGCACTGGCCAGGATGCAACGCTTTGCCTCTCTCTCACAGAAGGAGAGAGAAGCAGCAGTGGTCCCCTCTGTAACTGTACGTCGGACCCTGCTGCCACGGCTCCAAAAACTTCAATTTCCATTGCAGTCCCCCATCCCCCTCAGCGCTCTCTGGGTCTCTTCAAATGTTTGCCGATGCCATGGGTTTTGCTGAGCCTCTTGCACGTGGCTGCCTTTCCACCAGCCTTGCTTTGCTCAGGCACATTTCGTGGGTGTGTGCAGACTGCTGAGTGGGGGGGTGTCTTGTTTTACTCTGTGGCCGAAATTTCCTCAGCAACTGGAGAAAGGGGTCCCAGAAGCTTTGGAAGCAGGAGGCCTGTTCAGGGATTTCCAACGCCTGATCATAAAAGTTAATTGAAGCAAATGCCCGCTTTTGGCACGCAGCCTCTAATGAGGTCATAGAGAACCATGGGGCAGGTGCTCTGCTCTCCCGTTAACCCGCCTCATGGTGTTAAAGGGAGCTGTGGGGGGGCAGCTGTTTCCTAGCTGCAAGGCAGATAAGTGGAGGGGAGGCTTTCAAGAAATCCCTCATCAATGAGACCCCGGAAGCCATGAAACGACATCTGTGTTGAGATTTAAAGCAGAGTGCGGCTGATGGTGGAGATTAGTACATCAGCGGGCCTTCAGCTGTCCCACTAAGGGGGCTGTGATCCTGTGAGTGCTAATAAGCCGCACAGATTGGGCCTACTCAGCATCTGGATATGAGAGAGATTCCCTTCTCCCACGGGAAAATGAGGTGGCCAAGAGTGGCGTTGGTGACTCAATCACACAGAGCCAGCATGGAGTCCGTGCCCCAACACTGTAATGGAGGTGCCACGCTGCCTGTTGTGTGAGATGTGAGGCCACGCTCTTGGCCACACGTGGTCATGTGAATCCCAGTGGATCTAAGTAAGGGTTTTGTATTGCTCCTCAGCACCTTCCATGCACAATAGAGGGGCAGTATCCAGATCCCGAAGTGGTCTTCTATGGAATCGCTGGCCCTTCTCCCTCTGCTGGGTGGTGTGTGTGTGTGTGGGGGGTCTGTTTTGGTTGGTTTGTTTGGGGTCTCTTTTTAGGTTTTGTTTTTCTTTAATAACAAAAATCAAACACAGCGGTGCGAACCCCAGTGTCGGGCACATGGGGCTGTATGGTGGGCATTTTAATGGTGGCCACAGTGACAAAGGAGGGGGGTGATCTCTATCATCCGTTGTAGAGCACTCACTGCACACGAGGTGCTGTACAGACAGCAGAGAAACCACAGTCCCTGCACTGAGAGGCTTACAGTCTAAACAGGCTGCACCTCAGCACCGGGTGAGATGCAACCAAAGCAGGGCGAGGCAATGGGGGCATCTGGCACGTAACATCTTAGTTTTGTGGCTGTGCACTGGGACCCTGCCTTTGCGGCCTTGAAATAAGTCACTTTGCCAGCCTCTTTCTGCCCACCCCCTTTGAAAAAAGGGAAACCACAGCGTGGGCCGGCCGCCTTCCATCCGGTGGCTCTTGCAGGGCTTGGCGGCTGCAGCTGTCTGAGGAGAACTTCCTGCTACCTGCAGGGGAAGGACCTGTCTACCCCTGTTTGTAATGGGGTCCATCCAGTGCTCAGCCGCTTTGCTTCTCTTCGTCCTCGGTGAGTGTCATGGAGCTTGTTGGTTTTCCTCTCCGTTCAGCACTTGCGGAGGGGATGGGGGGGGGGGGGATGAGAGGGGGTGTAGGTAAAGGCCAAAGGGAGGGCTTAGACGTGCAAGCCATCCAGCCCCCTTCGCTGATTTTTGTCAAAGCCACCCACTCCTTTGGCTCCTCTCAGGGAGGGGACTCGGCCCCTGGGGTTCTGGGTGTGTCTGGGGTTCTCTGTCGCACTGGCCACTGCAGCTGGCAATGAGGTGCGCTAGGGCTCAGTAATAGACAGAGATTCGCCCTCTCAGTGGCTTAGCATGGCCCACCCGGGGTGCTGAGAGCACTGTGGAGGTACCTGAGCATGGACAGGTGGGGCTGCTTTCTGTCACTCTCCTTTTAGTTGCTTCCTCTTGCTATGCTCCCTTGGCTGAGCTACTCCTGATCTCCCCCTTCGATGTTCCCGCTCCCTTCCCTTTTCTGTCCATTTACATGGTCCCCTCCTGACTGAAAGAGCAAAACGAAAACTTGTGGCGCTAACGTGACATTTGCTGCCATCCCATCATTCACGCTGCTTGTGTGTGACAGCCCTTCCCCTGCCCTGTCTTGGCTATTTGGACTGGAAGCGCTCCAGGGCAGGACCCCCTACTACTCTCTATGCAGTGCCTAGCTCAATGGAGCTGGTTCCTGGTCGGCCCTTGATTAATATGATGCTAATCTCTCCAAAATAAACGGCAAAACTCCTGTCTGTTTCAGTGGGGCAGGATTTGGCCCATTTTGTACAACCGCTGAATGCCCGACTGGCACACGTTACATGACCTTGCTGCATACCCCCATTTATCACGAGCTTACACTGGACCTGCATGTTGCCCCATAAATTCCATCCCACAGCCTCCCTAGGGAGCTGCACCTGCTGTTATTGGTCCTTTTGCTTATGTTGTTGTTTGTACTCTACTCAGGAGACTAAGGGCTTATCTCCAAGGGAAGCTATTCCAGTATAGTGCAGGGTGGGACTATAAGGGCTGTAGTTATACTGATGTAACTCCCCAGGTGGACACTGTGTTCCAGAATACAAATGCCTTGCTCTGGGTTAGTGTAATCTACTGCCAAAGTTCAATCAGAAGAAGGCACTCTTCTTCTAGCATAGTGTCCACACAGGGAGCTACTCTGGAATGGCCATTTTGGTCAATGTCCCTGTGTAGACAAGCCCTTTTTGGGACTCTCAAAGACTTGCTCTGAGAACTCCACTTGTAACGAGGGGAGAAAAACTACCAGCTGAGTAGACGACCCGGTTGCTTCCCTTTCCCACTCCATTCAGGCCGCATGCAAACAGAAGGGGGATGGGCCATATGGCTAAGGGACGAACCGGCCTTGCAGGCTATTCACATCTGCGGGGATGTCCTTATCTGCCTGCTCTGATGAGGCCTCTTTTGGCACATCTCATTACCTGACATGTTCCTATAGCTGTTTTTCTAATGGCAAACCAGCCTTATCCCCCACTGCACTTGCAGCCCATTAGTTGTCCATGCTGGCTAGTGAGATCAGTTTTCTCTGCCCTCTTTCTAACATCCCTTATCATACTGATAGGCAATTCTGATATCCACTCACCCTGGCTGTGTTATCTACAGGCTAATCATGCCCAGTTCTCTTAACCTCTTCATAGAACCCCACTGAAACCTGTTATCCTCTTTGGTGCTCTCCTCTGAACTGGCCCCATTTTGTCTCGTTAGAACTGTGGGGCATCCATCTCAACACCATGTCGCTCTGCTCTTCCTCTCCAAACAGAGGTCTAAGCAGCACGAAGGAGGGCAGAATAATCATTAAAAGGACATTGATCCTTAAAATGTGAGGCTCTCAGTTTGAACATGCAGTTACTGCAGCTGTATGTGCACATGTAAATGAGAGTTGTGCTGATACCTGATTTGCTCTCGCAATTGTGGTAAATGCACAAGTGAAGTAAGCCTGTGACTGCAAGCACCCCACTTCTGCAAGTTAGATTCCAGGTATTTTTAAAACCCAAATCCCCTCTTTTGGGATGTGCCTCTAGAAGAACTTGCATTGCCACATAACACTACTGCTGTTTCATTTATAAGCAGGCCTCTGCGTTGGCCAGAGAGTAGTGCTGGTTCAGGAAGGACGTCTTTACCGGGCTAGAGGTTATAACATCACCATCTGGTGCAATGTCAGTGGCTACCAGGGGGCCTCGCAGCAGAATTTCCAGTGGTCCATTTACCTGCCATCTGCCCCAGAGCGGGAAGTGCAGATTATCAGCACCATGGATCCCTCCTTCCCTTACGCCATCTACACCCAGCGTGTGCGGAGTGGGGAGATCTACGTAGAGAGGGTACAGGGAGACTCTGCCCTGCTGCACATCACGGGGCTCCAGGACCAGGACGCCGGCGAGTACGAGTGCCATACACCCACTACCGACGAGAAGTACTTGGGGAGTTACAGCGCCAAGATGAACCTCTCAGGTAAGAGCTAGAGAAGGTTGCTAGCCTCATACTTGCCATTCAGCCATCTTCCATCGGCTGCTCTGAGGCACTTGGTGAGGGTGGCCAGATAGGATGGTTCAGGTTTTGCTTTTCTTTTGCTGTTGACGTTGTCCAGCTGTGGTGGTCCATGTTGGCAGTGAAACCCTGTATGTCAGCATCCCGTTTAGTGAAGGGAGAGGCCAGTGAAGTGCAGTGTCTAAAAAGCACAGAGACATCAGATGGCTGCTCCCCCGTAGAGAGGGAGATGGTGGGGACAGGTGTCTTCTCTCTTGGAGGGAAGGGGCAGATGATGTGGTAGTGGGAGAGGAGATGAATAGGGCCTCTTAGCTGGGCCTTCCCTTCTTCCACATCTGGGGCTTTTGCTGCTGCTCCACCCAGTGGTGGGAAGGCTGGGGGGGCCTCAGCCAGTCACAAATCCCTCCAGCGGCTCCCACTTCAGGTTCCTTTCCTGGTGAATCTTCACTTCCACTAGGGAGGAGGAGCTGAGCCCCCCTCCCCCGAGCCAGAAAAGGAGAAAGGAAGGGAAGCTGCCGTTGTGCTCTTCGTTGAGGAAGGGGAGCTGTGTTCTCCACACCTCATTTCTTGAACCCCTAGTCATGACAGAGCTCTAGCAGATCACATCAAAATATCTCCATGGGTACAAAGGCCCTCAAAACTGACCCTCAGCATCCTTTAGACCAGGCCTATAGGACACAGGGTCACTCTGACACATGTGGGATGCCCATTGACATTCCGGAAAGGGTGACCATCCTAAGGGACATCTTTGGGAATGGGGAAAGAGTTAGGAGGAGGAAGCATGACTGGATGGGAGAGGCAAAGGAAAATGCCTTATTCTGCACTCTCCTGTGTAAATGACGGTGCAGCATTCCCTGGAGAGAGATGCTCTGTGGTAACTTTGGTGGGGCCTCTGGGGTACCTCCCCCATGTTTTCCCTTTATCTTTGTGGTGTACCAGCCCATACTCTTTCGCCTACACCTGATTCTCTTTGGAGTCAGTTAACACTGGCCCGGGTTGATTGAAGAGGGCGCAAGAGAGCGTTGCAGCAAAGGAGACAAGCTCTCCCCACCCAGGTGCTGAGCCCCTTTATGTATCGGTGGCAATCAGCAGAGAAAGCTGCTAACGCCACAGAGTGGAAATCCATGCACCAGGAGGAGGGTGTGACTGATAAGCAGGGTAACTATGTCTAGACAGAGAGTTGTTCCAATTGTGACCAGCATGGCTGTGTTTTTGTTGTGTTTAGTGATCCCCGACACTCTCTCCGCCACCATGATACCGCAGGCCCTCACCCTAGTGGAAGGAGATCAGCTAGAGCTCACCTGTGAGGTGTCAAAATCCACAGCTCAACACACCCACCTTTCTGTTGCCTGGTACCATCTCCAGGGGTCAGGAGATGCTCAGGCCAGGGTGATCCTTTCCCTGTCCAAGGATTTCATCTTGACTCCGGGCTCCTCCTACACGCAGAGGTTTTTGTCAGATGTCCGTCTGGACAAGGTTGGGGACACCACATACAAGCTGTCTATTGGCAAAGTGCAGCCCTCTGACCAGGGCCAAGTGTACTGTGAGGCGGTTGAGTGGATTCAGGATCCTGGTGGGCCTTGGAAAGATATAACTCGGAAACAAACGGAAAAGACATTGCTGACTGTCAGGAGACAAGGTAAGATGCCCGCAGCCCATCGGTGAGACGCACTGTCGTTATAAAATACCATAGCTCCCATCTGAGGGGCTGCAGAGGGATTCTAACTCGTGTGCTTACCCTTTCTACAAAGGTGCCTTTTATGTAAATGAGAGTCAGGCCTGTTGTGTATTTCTAAAGCCTCTTCACCCACCCAGTTATTAAGCCGCTGCACAAAATGTCACTTTACACAACAGCATTAACGTGAATGAAAATTCTGAAGTTCTAGGTCCTGTCACATTTGATTGACAGGGGCTCTAGGCAGGAGACAGAATGGCTTCGGACGTACAAAAATCCTGTGTTTGATGATCAGAAGTGCTTGAGGGAGGGGGAGGGATGACTCAATATTGCCTACCCCAACTCGCACATCATGAGTTAATCCCTGACAAATTTTAAGATCAGCTTAAAAATCATGACCTTTTAAAACAAACTTTGGGTTCTTATTTGCCTTTGGGCATCTGAGCCTTTAGGGTTCAAGTTTTCAAACTTTTATGTGAAACCATGAGGGCTAGAAACACTTTTTTTTTCCTAAATTGAAAGCTGAGATTCTCCTATAATCACCTGACTCCACTAAAAACATCCAATAGTGTGAGACTTTTCATAAAATGGTGAGAGTTGGCAACACCAACACCTTCCCAGATACAAGTGAAGGCAATGCTCCCATTGACTGCAGTGGGTACAGCATTGAGGCATTGTTGCCCAAGACAAAGGGGATTATGGCAAGCACAGAGGTAGCATGGAGGAAGGTGGGAAGGGAGCAAAGGCAGAGGGTCAGGCCTGGGGTGAGGTGGGGAAGCTAAAGCAGTGAGAGAGGAAGGAGCTTAATGGAGGATACGGGCTCTTGAAAATGAGGACGAGGAGCTGGAGCTTGCTGGGGAATGCAGTGAAGGGGGCTGACTAGGGAAGTGACGTGGTGGGAACGGTGCACAAGGAAGGTTATCACAGAAATATTTTGGAAAAGGGGGGCTGATTGGAGATGTAAGGCGGCCAGAGGAAAGGAGGGTGTTGATGGTGTTGAGGGTGAGAAATGGAGGGTGTTGAGGTGAGAAATGATCATGGTTTGGGCCAAAGTTAATGGCCTGGGTGGAGAGGAAAGATCAGGTTTTAGTGTGTGTGGTAAAGGAAGCTGGTGTCTAGTAAAGACCCTGATATACCACAGGAAACCAAAGAAGCAAATAGCTAGGTCGGTGTTTTTCAACCTATTTTCATTTGCAGACACCTAAAAAATTTCTAATGGAGGTGTGGACCCATTACCAGGGGTCTGCGGACCGCAGGTTGAAAACCACTGTTATATGGTAACAACAAACTTTTGCGGACCCCTTAGACACAGTCTGAGGACCCCCAAAGGTCTGTGGACTACAAGTTGAAACCCACTGAGCTAAATGGTTCAAACAGTTCACTGAGCTATGGGCAAGATGCCATGATGTGCACCAGTCAAACACTGCAAAAACTCTCTTAATGACCGTAGATTGTAATTAGGAATGGCTGGCAGGTTTGACAAAGTTTGTACCCCTTGTTCCCATTCTTAGGAGAGGTTTTTGTGTGCACCATTGTTTGGAGAACAATTGCAGTTCATATGAACGTTCATAGCAGACAAGAATATTTGCTTTTTATTATTCTCCTGTTTAAAGTTTCATCATCCAATCAGAAAGCAGAAATAATACCATGTAACTTCAGTTACCAATCACATGCTATGATTCCAAGTAAAGAGTTTGGAAACTCCCTATAGGCTGAGAATTCTATTCTACTTACATTAGTATATTACGCTCATCATCAAGGTATCTGAACAATGTACACCATTGTTTGAACTTGGAGGCCTCTAGATCTCATTATTCCTGTAAACAATTCAGCCAATATTTGGGAATACCAAGCATATGTGCAGGAATCAGGACATTTCTTCTTGAATTGTTTATGAGCCAAACATTTAAAACCATAGCATAACTTATTTGCAATAAATACTTAAAGCAGCTGTAAATCTCAGGAGTTACTGTATTTTTACCTTTGGACAATAATGTATGGTATTTCCCTTGGAGCTAGGCATGTCTGTGTAGTATTGTTCTAAATAATCAACGCAATGGTCATGTAAAAATGCGACCTGTGTACAGACAGTTCTGCGTTTGATTTTTGCGCAGAATTCTCATTGATTTCATGAGTTCCATGCGTGGGAGTTTGGTAGGGGACCATATTCCCCACTCACTCAGCAGTGACCAGTTTCTATTAAAATCTTGTCCTGAATCGCCTTTTGGGCTTTATTTCAAATCTAAGAATTCCTGGCTGATGCCTCAGCAAGGGTGGAAGTTAGTCTATGTTGTATTAGACCTAAAAATACTTCTCCCTCCAAGAAGAGAGAATCTTATCCAAAGGAAATGGACTAACGGACCCATTTGATCGAGGTCCCTCCTGACTCTAATGAAGCTAGTAATAGGAAGGGATAATTGAACCAGGGCCTCTTGACATACACTTACCTTGCTTTTGTTTTTCCACAGACAGAGATTTCCAAGCTAATATTGCTGCTGTTGAAAGTTCCCTTGCAGAAGGGAACCCCTTGCAGGTAAATTGCTGTGTGAAAGCCCAGAATAGCCAGAACCGATGGTTCCAAGTGGTTTGGCTCTTCAAAGGAGTAGAAGTAGCCAGGATTGACCCACATGGGATACTGGCCTTGAAGGAGTATGAAGAGAGAGCTGCCTTGGGACAGCTCCAAGTGGTGAAGAAAAGCAATGAGATGTATATCCTCAAAGTATACCAGGTGGGGCTGAAAGACAAAGGCACATACAGCTGTGAGGTTTCAGAGATGGAGAAGACTTCCACAGGTTTTTCCACCATCCAGTCCAAGATGTCGTCAGGCATTGATGTCAACGTGAAGCCAATAGGTCAGTGAAATTAAATGCCCTTTCTTCTAAATGAAATCTGATCAAGGTCCCTGGTCTGGGTTCCATTGCTATTTGGCCTCCTGGCTTGGCACAAGGAAGCTGTCCCCCCAAAAGGGGCAGGTGGGCTGTAGTGGTTGATACAGTGATAGAAACAAAAGTATTCACGCTGGCACACACAACACTTCTACTGCAGCAAGGGAAGTGTGCGCTCTAATTCACTGTCTGCACCAATTCACCGGGTCACTCCCACAGTGTGTCCTGATGACCTGCATCCTCTCTCCAGTAGGCATAAGAGTCTTTTGCCTCTCACCTACAATCCCTTTTGCGGTTTCCACCACCTCTTCTGAGGTAGCTGCCTGTGCACACCGGGTGACTGAGATCCTACGTTTGATAGGATCATTCTCAATTTCATCAGGGCTCTCTACTTATTGCCTTTTTTATTGCCGATGCTTATGCATGGTACAATCAGTGCTTAAAATGTGGGGAGATGCAGGGGGAGGGAGGGGCAGATTTCCCCCCCCCCCCACAAAAAAAGTTCAAGTCAAGCTGGGTTGTTGAGAGATGTACTTTTAAGAACTGTTTTACCAAAGATGCTGCTCCCAGATTATGAGCCACTCCATTCCCCCCACCCCACACACATACTTTTTTCAGACCACTTTAAGCATTTGGCTACAATAGCCTATGTGGTAATGGTCCAAAGTCTGACAGCTTCCAGTATTAATACTGCTGTGTTCGGGGCTATTATTGTAGAATACTGCAGTATTATTTGTTTTAAGGCCAGGATGGCTAAATGAGCTATACTGACACTCCCAATGACTTCTCCTACCATGGCATGCTGTTCTACCCAACATTGCAAAGGCAGACAACCATCACCATGGTGTACCTGTGAATAAACTGTCAGGGGTGGTTACAACATTGGATTGGGGCTCAGGAGATCTGGATTCAATTCCCAGCTCTGGCACAGTGACTTTAAGCAAATCACTTAATCTCTCTGTGAAATGGGGACAATAATACTACTCTCCTCCCATCCTGCGTCTGCCTGTTTAGATTGGAAGCTCTTTGGAGCAGGGGCCGTGTCTCTTATGGGTGGTGTGTGTGTGTGTGTGTGTGTGTGTGTGTGTGTGTACAGTGCCTACCACAATGAAGCCCCTGTTTTAGTTGAGGCTTCTAGTACTACTGGAACACAAATAATGAAGGCCATGCACATATAAGTCAGGAGTCCACTCTAGAAAAATATCCAAGCTGGAAGAGTTCTTACTGTTTCTGTATTTACTTGCCTTTGTTCATGCAATGATGCTGTGTGAATTTTGCAACTGTGCTAGGTGAAAATAGGTATCTGACTGACTGACTTTTGCTTTGACCATCCAGTCGTGCTTGGGATGTACCCTTTACTCCTTCTCATTCTTTGGTGTCTCTGCAAGTATTGACTAGTTTTCCCTCATCATGGCTTGGCACGACTTGTCCTTCCCTATTATCTCAGCTCCCTCTCCAGAGGACACCTCACTTTCTGTTCCAGTTCACTCATACTCTTTTTAAACAGAGGCAATTGCTCTTTCCTCAGAGGGTGCTACACACACTGTGACATGTAGGTAAAAGCTGGCGTGTGGAGTAGGTGTTTTACTGCAGGCCTCTTGTAGCCATGACAGCTCATACATTCTATTTAATACCCATAGGTGCTCAAATGCCAGGGTGATCGGCACAGTACAAGAACCTGAAGAGAATAATTTGTTTTCTTTAATATATTTGTCATAACTCTTCTTGTGACTTAAAAAAAAACCCTTTTAAAATGAAAGTTAAATGCATCTGGCTCAGCTATGAAGAGCTGACAAGAGATGTGTCCACACTGGAGCCCAGAATTCGCCTGTCTCAATGCAGCAGGCAGAGGGAAAGTCAGAGTCTGCCAGTTGAGTGTGTTCGTTGAAACGTTCCCTAATGCGACGGCTCCAGGAATGCCACTGGCAGGAAGAAATGCACTTCAGGGTACTGAAAAGATGGCTCCAAATTTCAGGACAATTCCCCCTACCCTTTATGTTGAGATTTACCTTGTCATGTTGTGTAACATAAGAATACTTCTGACTAGCTTGGAAAGGTAATTGCTGTTGTTTTTCACAGAAAGCCACATGCAAGTGTCTGTGCTCAGCAGCGAAAGGCAGATAGTGGAAGGAGACACCTTGATTCTTCACTGTGAGGTGAGTGGGGCAACAAGCCCATTCTCGGTGAATTGGTGGCATCTGCAAAAGAGCGGAGATCAACCGGAGCACATAGTTGGGATGGAACGGGATGGCATGCTGAGGCCGGGCCCCTCCTACCAGGAACGCAGCGCTAATAGGGACCTCCGACTAGAGAAGATTAATTCTACCACGTTCACCCTGGCGATCTACAACACTTCAGCCACCAATGATGGAGGGTCTTACAAATGTGAAGTGACAGAGTGGTCCATGGACAGGAGCTGGAAACAGGCACAGGAAACATCAGTAGCCATTAGCCCTCTCAGTAAGTTGATAGAATCCCTTCCTTACATTATGCTTGGGCCTGAGAAGGAAGAGATCTGGGTTCTACTTCAAGCTCTGCCATTGACTTACTATGTGACCTTAGAGAAATCACTTAACAGCTGTGTGCCTCAGTTTCCCCAAGTGTAAAATGGGGGGAATACAACCTGACTGCCATGCAGTCTGTTTTGAGAAGTTATCAATGAAAACTGGTAAAGTGCTCTGAGCAGGGCTGGTGCTACCATTAAGGCAAACTAGGCGGTTGCCTAGGGTGCCAAGATTTGCAGGCGCCAAAAAGTGGTGCCCCCAATTTTTTTTTTTTTACAGCTTTCCTGGGCTGGGCTGCCCGCGGTGTGCTGACACGTGCGGCTCAGACTCCCTCTCCCAGTGCAGCCGCTCCACTTCTCCTGCCTCCCAGGCTTGCGCCAAACAGCTATTTGGTGCCGCAAGCCTGGGAAGGGAGGAGAATTAGAGCGGGGGAGGCGTGCTTGGGGAGGAGGCAGAGCAGAGGTGTGCTGGGGTGGGGAGCTGCCGCACGGCTGGGGGGGGAGCTGCCGCGGGGCTTGGGGGAGGGGGGCGGCGCAAGGTGGAAGTTTCGCCTAGGGCGTGAAACTTCCTTGCACCGGCCGTGGCTCTGAGATCCCTGAATGCCAGGCACTGTGTAAATACCAATTACTACTTAGCAGGAACCCTTTTGGATCCTCAGCTTCTTGAAACATGAAGTGATTAATCTATTGCCACAATTGTTTATGGAAATGAAACTGAACAAAAGGTCTTGCTGAGTTGTACTACAAGAGTTCTCAGTGAGGGGTCCTTGATTTTGGAACACTCTTTGCCCACCAGAGCCTAGATGGGTTAACTTTTCCAGGCAAGCCCCTTTTCTTTTTTCCCCTTTGGCTGTTGAGGAGGGTGTGAGTTGAAGTGGATATATTTAGGCACCTTTCTTTCTGTCCACATTGTGACTTTTAGTTTATGGGATAGGCGCCTGTAGCCCTGGTTGGGCCACTGTATTTTAAAAAGTGAAATAAATACGTAGATAAATATTGCAGATGATCAGTGGGGAAAGCCTGCTTGGCAAAATGAAGCACCAGTCGTTAATCCAAAACAGACCCTTCCATTAGTAGAGCTGTGGTGGAATTCCAGACTGTGCTGCAGGGCAGGACTGAGGTATGGTGTTGGCAGAGCTGTATGGAGGACCCAAGGCTTTGTCTACATTGCAAAGCCTGTGCTGGCAGAACCCTCTAGTGTAGATGCAGTGTACGCTGACAGTTTTTCTACCGGTGCAGGAATGCCATCTCCCTATTACGGTACTTGTGCTGACAGGAGCCTTCCTCTGGGGTTTGTCCGTGTAGCTCTGTGTGGTTCTTCACATCCTGATCCACATAGCTATGCCAGTATAAAAGTGTAGCTCAGACCTGAGTCTGGAATAGCAGGAGATGCTGCAGCTCAGGATTTAGGCACAATGCCAGAGCTGAGCATGGAATCAGGAGTGGAATAGCAGGGTACACGTCAGGAGCGAGATGCATTCGCAGAACTGAGGGGTACAGGAGAGGGAGAGCAGGGGATGGATGACTTTAATCAGGACTGAATTTTATTGGCAATGTTTGTATGATCCAGAATAGCCTGGGGGCTCCGTGTCATGATGGAGGCACACTGACAGAGCAGGGCAGCCCAGATTGAAATAGCATTGAGGGGTAAGGAAGGAGCAAGGTGTGTTATCAGAGCTGTAGAATGGCAGGGAAGCTGGGTCAACGCTTCCTGAATAATGATCAGGACAGTGCTATTAGTTCCCTAATATCATGAGCCTAAAGTTCACTTGTAAAATAAACAGCTAAACCCCGAATCACCCAATCAGTGTGGGAACAGCTCCCGGCAGCGGAGGATAGTGCTGCATGTGAAGGGATAAAAGCAGGGAGAATGGTTGTACAATCTCTGTTATAACCTTAACAAGCCCAGTACCAATGATGTGCTTCCTTCTTAACAGGTTTGGATTTGAGAGCCACACTGATAAGCCGAACAGCAAATGTCAAATTTACTCAGGATTTTGAACTGTTCTGCCAGGTCTCTGCCCCCTATCTCATCACCCAAGTGCCAGTATCGGTAACTTGGCAATTCCAGCCCATCCTACAGACTAGTGGCTATCAACAGCTGATCAAAATCATGCCCAGTGGCACTATCGAGTGGGGGACTGCCCAACCTCACTTTCAGAGGAAGACCAGAGTCACACAAGCTGCATCTTCCTCCCAACTTCTAATCCACAGTGCCACAGAGCAGGATGCAGGCAGGTACAGGTGTGAGGTGGAGGTCTGGAGGAGAAGCTCCCAGCAAGCACGACACCCAGCTATGGCAGCAGCTGCTGCTGTGAAGTCTAACGTTGTGGAGATAAAGGTCAATCCACCAGGTGAGCTGCAGCAAATGCTTTTCTCAGGAGCTGTGTAACTTGCATAAATCCAAAAAGAATGTAATTAGCAGTTACTTTGTCTCCACGATCCTAAAACTGCTAGAACCCCTCCGGGCTGGATCATGCACCAAGGCCACAGCAGCAGGTGCTGCTTGTATTAATTCTACCTCATCTAGCGTGGCTGTTACGCATGTTTTTAAAGTGAACTTAGTGCTGGTGAGTGCAGGCCTCTGGTTATCCATTGAATGGGTACAACATGGGGAATGGCTGTTGAAGATATCCCCCCACCACCACCCAGGCTTGCCGGTGGGCTTTAACCCTAACCTCTGGGGCAAAGTGGGAGTTCATTCCGTGGCCTATTCAGTCTTTGGCCTCTCTGCTCACACTGTCACAAAACGGGGCCAGTGGAGGAGCGTCTGAGACATGAATACCTCCTTATTTCACTAGAAAATACTTAGTGCTGCCTCAGTGCAGGGGACTGGACTAGACCTATTGAGGTTCCTTCCAGGCTACATATCTATACCAGGCCCCCGAATGGCTACCATATGGTCACTACTGCCCTGGGTTGGACAGGAACCAGTGACTTGGATGTAAAAAGCTCCATTCCCTACTACCAATCCCTTGAGCCTTCCAGTGTCCGCTTGTCCAATGTATCCACAACACGTTCTTCTCTTCTTACCAGTTGAAAGTTGAAAGAAGAACAACAAAAATGATCAGGGGGATGGAGGGATTGATTGGAAAGATAGCTATGTACTGTTTTGGTAAGTAGGTCATAGGCTTATGATTCTATCTGGTGGACAAAAAAGTACCAGAGAGGATGGTACAGGGGTTTGGGGAAGGGAAATTAACTTGGAAATAACAGAATGAAATTGAGTAACAGAAAAATTAGGCTGCAAATCAGGAAAAACGTTGACAATGAAAACTACTAGGCTAAGTAATATTGTCAGGTGGGAGATGGGAGCCCCATTGTTTGGGACATTTTAAATGGAGACTGGGCAAAACCCCCTAGAAAATGTAGGCTACGAAACAATCCTTCCTTTGCAGGAGGAGGCTAGATTATAAGATAACAGATCACTTCCATATCTAACTTAGGCCCTGACTGTTCAGCATCCTACCTCCCTAGGGTGGCCAATACCCATTGCTTCAGAAGAAGTTTAAATCTACCCTTAATGCACCTTAACACTATACAGGAGAGAAAGATAAAGCTCCTTTCTAGCACTTGCCCAAATGGGTTCTTCCAGAACCCCGAGAGATGCCCTTCTGGTGCTGGTGTGTGTGTGTGTGTGTGTGTGTGTGAGAGAGAGAGAGAGAGAGAGAGAGCGCACAGGTAGGCTCTTTTGCATACTCCAGCTGTTCCCCAGCTTGTCAAAGCAGAAAGTGCATTGTCAGCAGACAGGGTTCAAAGCGAGACAGTCAATGGGAGATTCTGCTTAGTTAATTAAATTGAAATTGGTTCTGTTTTTGCTTTCACATCTTTCTATGGAGGGAAGCGGCCTGTCTGCTTTTTATAGTAATTGAACTTTAGCAATGTGGTGGTGAGAGACAGAAGCTTAAAGCAAAAGGGGTGGTGCTTTAGCAAGCACTCTGCTTCCTCTTGGGGATGATCTTTAGTGGAGTTGCAACAAAAAATCCTCTCATGGGAATCAAGTGTCCCTTGTTAATAGCAGGCTATGTGAGCACATTCCCCTCGTGAGCTCTGAAGACCCCACATCAGTTTCTCTGGAACGTTTCCTGGAAGGAGACTGCCAAGCCACACACATTAAAGTGAGGTCCCTTTCCCCCTCCCCCCCTCAGGTTGCTGTAATGCTAGCTAGGACTAACAAGCCATCCTCACTTTTTTTTTAAAGGTCCCAGTTTTCATGAGTTCATCTGGAATCCCATGAGGTTAGCCTGAATTTGTGTTACAGTGTGATGCACCTTTTCCTTTCTTTCAGTTCAAATTATTGACCTTGCGATCGCTCTTTGGCCTTGGCAGCGCTGTGAAGCGCGAGTGTAGTCGCGCCGGCAGCGCTGCGAGAGTTCTCTCGCAGCGCTGCAAGTACTCCACCTCTCCGAGGGGAATAGCTTGCAGCGCTGCAAGCGCTGATTACACTGGCGCTTTACAGCGCTGCACTCGCTGCACTCAGGGGGGGTGTTTTTTCACACCCCTGAGCGCAGCAAGTGCAGCGCTGTGAATTGCCAGTGTAGCCAAGGCCTTTGTCTCCAAAGGTTTCAGAGTGCATTGCAAATTATATGCAACAATCAATTTGCCACTACTGGAATAGCATCCCCTCTGACAAGCAGCTATTTTACCATGCTCAAGGCTGCCATCTAGAGGAAGAACAGGAGTACCTGTGGCACCTTAGAGACTAACAGTTTGAATCTCAGATGATGAGCCTACTCTTATGAGACCACAGCTATGGTGGCCATCACAGGGGATTGAACCAGGGACCTTCAGTGCTACCCATGAGTTGTTATAGTTTGAGCTAAAGAGCCTGCCTTTCGAGCTGAGAATGGTAATGGGCCTGTATCTTCTGTGGATCAGGCACAGAAAGGGACACAACACATGGACCAGCAGGATACAAAAGTCACAGCCTTTCAGGAAAATAAATGAAGACGAATAGTGTAACCCTTTGAAAGTGGAGGTGGAAATGGAGGGAATCAGAATGTGATTGTATAACTAGGCTAGGAGTCTGGAATTCATAGCCCTATTCGAATAAGGAAGCCCAGTACCTTTAATGACCACAAGTGATATCACGGTCTTTGCCTTTGTCTCATCTAAGAAATGGCTCACTACTCTGAGATTAAGGCGATCAGCTGAGTATTGAACAGCACCCTCTATTAAGCCATCACACCACTTCCTCTGATATGCAGGTGTTCTCATGCCATTGATGCTGGCATAATTTTGAAAGCCCTATGGTTTGGGTCCTAGCTGCCTGAGGAAGCAACACCTTCCCTCTGCTCTGCATAAGAGCTGAGATCTGCTGGTGCTCAAGTCTAGATTTAAAAGCCTGCTGGCAAGGTATTCTCGGTGGATGCCTCTTAACCCTGGAATTTCCTTCTACCTTTAGTCAGATGGAGGCAGAGTCTTTGTTGGCCTTTAGGGCACAAAATAAGACTTCCAGATCTGGACTGGAGGCAGGCACCATTTCAGTTATATTTAGCAGTTAGGTTCTGGGGTTGAATCTGTTTTAGGTTATGAAGAACTAATCTATGTTACATTAGATTTGTGCTAATACCCAGAGCTGGCTCTGATAGGTGCATTTTTAAGGATGGAGAAATACAGAAATGAAGTCAAATCCAAGTCCTGCCCATGCTCAGCTCTGCTTAGCCCATGGGATCTGATGTGGAACAGTCAGAGGGGTGCCTGGCAGCAGAACAGATGACTAAAGCGCGTGGCCCTTGGGACAGTAATTCACTTGCTCCTCTTCACTGCCTAGCCATTCCATGCATTCACACAGGAGCAGCCCTAGCCATTTTGCTGGCCAGGGTGGAAAATGTTTTTTGGCAACGACCTGTTTTCCCCCTTCCCCAACCCCTACCCCCTCCAGCAGTCGAGCCAAAAAAGTCAGAGTTAAAATGTTGGCACCCCCAGAGCAGCTGCCCTGCTTGCCTGCCCCTAGAGCCATCCCTGCGTTCACAGCTCATGTAGTACCTTCAAAGCACAGATGTCATCTGCTGGGAAATACAGAGCAGCAAAACATCCTGCCACCCCATTTAAAGCATCTGTCTTCTTTCTATCGCCCCTTCGTGAGTCTTGTCGCAGTAGGACCCAAATCCTCACTGCTGTTCTCACTCTCATGTGACAGCCTGCAAAGAGCCGGGCTGCGGAACGTGCCATTTCCACCTGCCTGAAACATTTATGAGGCCAATCCCGGTGTATTGCATTTTCAATTTCAGAGCGACATGTGCTAATGTCTCCAGTGGGATTGGAGGGCGGGGGGAGTGAGAAATATAGAATAATACAGGGGTCGGCAACCTTTCAGAAGTGGTGGGCCGAGTCTTCATTTATTCACTCTAATTTAAGGTTTTGCGTGCCAGTAATATATTGTAACATTTTTAGAAGGTCTCTTTCTATAAGTCTATAATATATAGCTAAACTATTGCTGTATGTAAAGTAAATAAGGTTTTTAAAATGTTTAAGAAGCTTCATTTAAAATTAAATTAAAATACAAGAACTAGGGGTCACCAAATGAAATTAATGGGCAGCAGGTTTAAAACAAATAAAAGGAAGTTCTTCTTCACACAGCACACAGTCAACCTGTGGAACTCCTTACCTGAGGAGGTTGTGAAGGCTAGGACTATAACAGCATTTAAAAGAGAACTGGATAAATTCATGGAAGTTAAGTCCATTAATGGTTATTCGCCACAATGGGTAAGGAATGGTGTCCCTAGCCCCTGTTTGTCAGAGCGTGGAGATGGATGGCAGGAGAGAGATCACTTGATCATTACCTGTTAGATTCACTCTCTCTGGGGCACCTGGCATTGTCCACTGTCAGTAGACAGGATACTGGGCTAGATAGACCTTTGGTCTGACCCAGTACGGCCGTTCTTATGTTCTTATGCAGAGCCCCCCGGACCGGTGGCCAGGACCTGGATAGTGTGAGTGCCACTGAAAATCAGCTCGCATGCCGCCTTTTGCACACATGCCATAGGTTGCCTACCCCTGGAATAATACATAGAGTTGGGGGGCAGGGAGGATGCAGATGCATTGAATAGGGAAAGGAAGACAGGGATAAAGGAGAGAGAGACTTGGCTAGCAGATGTGAGAGGGAGGCAGAGGCACCACCCAAGCGGGGTTAGGGAGGATATCTGAGTCGAGGAGCGGCAACAATGAGCTCTGAAGGGAGACATTCCTCTTTGGCTGGAGAATTGAGGGGCTGTAGCACCTAGGTTTAGAAGGGGGAGGCACACAGTGGGGCTGGGGGGAATGGGAGGCTCTTTGGGGCATTGGCAGACATTCAGAGGAACTCTGGGAGGGAAGGGGAGGAGGAGGGGAAACATGAGGTGCTGGCATATGTGAGGGGACCTCTGGAGACAGGGAATGTCCTTGAGGTTCTGAGAAGAAATAGAGGTGCTGAGGGGATCCCCAAAGGAAAGAGGAAATGGGGGGGCTCTGAATGGTGAGGGACTTCTGGGAGAGGATAGGCTGTGGGGGGCACCAGATGTAGAGAGGGATGTTAGAGGAGCCTTCAGGGCAGTGGGGAAGGAAGGGAGGATGCGGGAGCAGGCCTTGAGGTCAAAGGCCTTGCTCCTGAGGAATAGAGGAAGGTGCCAAGCTCCCCCATCTCCCAATAACATCAGTGGGAGCTGAGACACACACTACCTCACATGATCAGAGCCATAATTCTTACCCAATGAATTAATAGTTCCTTGATGCACCCATTCCTGACTCACACTGAAGTGCGTGCATGTGTGTTTGTAAAATTGTCCTGTTCCCAGGGTGGCAGGATGTTGAATCTACATCTTCACAGGCAAATGCTTCTGCCTACCTGAGCTTCCCCTGACCATCATAGCTGGGATTAAAGATCACAGAGCTGATTTCCATCCTCCCCAGTCCTCTGTATGTTCAATATATGGCAATGCCATTCAGCTTTCTCTGCCATGGTGGCCAGCAAAGAGTACAGCTGTCCCAGTTGAATGTATGGGGGGGTAGGGTGACCAGATGTTCCAATTTTATAGGGACAGTCCTGATATTTGGGGCTTTGTTTTATATAGGTGCTAATTACCCCCCGCGCCCGTCCCGATTTTTCATCCTTGCTATCTGGGGTGGGGGGTGGGGGCTCTAGGACAGGATGCAGGAACCATCAATAGGGACAACAGATTCTCCCTTGCCAGCTCCTCTATCCCACCCTAAAATGACTATCAGATCCCAACCGTAAGGCAACAACTCCCCAGTGCAACCCATCCAGCCCTGCAGCTTCTGGGATGGGATAGTTTCTCTATATGCTCAGCACCCGCTGTCTAAGAGAGTGAATGAGAGGCTGAAAAGGGAAAGAAGGGAAGGAGAAAAGTCCCCAAAGACGTGATCTCCCTGCTTTGTGGCTAGTCTCCCCATCTCAAATAAACAGTCCTTTAGAAAGCAGGATGTGGGTGTGTGGGGTATGTTGCATGGGGGATGGGAGGAACTACGTGAGAGACTGCATTTTATTGCTGTCCCAATTGATTTAGCAACAGTTGATGCAATCGGAACTAAGCCCCATAAACAGAGACTGCATTAGCAGGATACACCTCAGTATCATTCCAATGGGAGACGGTTGCAGAATTGAAGAGGGATTAGGATGTTTCTTTTGTTGGCATTCGAGCCATTCAGCACTTAATTGAACAATTACCAGGTATAATGACTAGGGACATTCAGAAACATATTACCACATTTCTAGTTATTAACCAAGGCAGACAGATGAGGCAGGAAGTGTTAGTGAAACCCATGCCGGCTTTAGTTTGTCTGAGATGAAAGGCCCTCATTATTCAGTTTCCAAAGCTGCACTTTTGTGTTAATTTATCTTCTCCTCCCCGCCCCACAGCTCCACCAAAGAGGACGGGCACCAGTGGGCTCTTTATTCCCTGTTTGTTCCCCTCCATTATCGGCTCGTGGCATCAGTCCCATGCCAGCAATGCTGCCTGGAGGGCCCACCTACCACTGTAAATATCAAGAAGGCAGATGAACTGTTTGGGATGGTACACAGGGGTCTGACTAGAAGTAATGGGATTGACTGGCTGGGGAAATTTCCAGACAGTGAGATAGCAGAACAGTCTCCCAAGGGAAGGACTGGAAACCCAGTCGCTTGAGAAAATTAGCGTTATTAAAGTATGGGAAATATGCCTGGAAAGGAACAGTCCTGCCTGGGCAGAGAGATGGCTGGGTGACTGTAACAGGGTGACTGTCCCTTTAAGGGTAGCAAGGACTGTAGTGGTCAGTCAACACCTCTTCGGTGGTGTGACCCTTACGTTCTGGGACTTGGTCTTCCCTAGATCTTCATCCACTCTACAGAGCTAGCTGTTGGGAGAAAGAAGATGATCCCGGGACAATAGTTGAGGCTTGGGGAAAACCCAGGTTGTCGTTTCTTTAAGGGCCTCGGACCAGGAGCCTTACAGAGTGGGCGAGGCAGGGCTCAGCTCTGTCCCAGTGAATTGGGACGCGCTCTTGGAAGAGGACTGTATATGTTTGATTTCTACCAAGGGCAGAAGGTAGTGCCTGATGAACTCTCCTAGCCTGCGGGTGAAGGGACTGACTGGGGATAGGGCCAGCTGGAAGAGAAGTTGGCTGTGGCTCTACAGCTGGCCTAAATGATAACTCCAGCTCCTGTCTTAAGGAGAGAGAGAGAGTTTGAAGTACAAGCCAGCTCCAGGGCGAGGGCCTTCTAAGCAGGGAAAAAACTGCCCCCAGGACACTCACATGAGCCCAGAGTGGGTGTAAACTTAAGCAACTAAAGAAGTTACCCCCTGTAGAATGAGTTAATAAACTAGCCCCCACAAAGGTGGTATATGTTTGAACTCCTCTGGTCTGAGTAACTGACTGATCTGGTCTGAAAGAACAGAGGCAGGGTGCGACAGAGCCACACTTGGCCAGCAGGAGGTGCTGCAAGTCAGGCAAGTCCTTTGACAGTGACCATGGAGCTCTTCTATCTCTGACTTCTCTGATTCTCACTGATGCATTCCTTTAGCCCTGGTGGTTGGATGGGCAGGTCTGTGCAGATTGGTTTGCTGTAGGATTGCTCCTGAGTGCTTGAACGTGTGTGCACAGGCTTGTTCTTGTAGGGTTGCTTGTGAAGGCTGAGTTGGACACACAGCTTTGTTATTGTAAGGTTGCTTATGGGGGCTTTGCAAAGAAAAAGCATGTTCAAAGATTTTTTTTAAAAATTACCGAAACATTGCAAGAACTCTAAAAGAAAGGAGATTGGAATTGGGGCCGGGCGTCTTTCAGAATGTGGGATTTCTAACACCTGAACAGAGCCTTTTATGTGTAATTTCAGACTTGTTCCCTCTAGCTTCTCCTCTCCTAAGACCCAGTGCTGGCTTCGTAAGCCATCATTTCAGGAAATAGATCCCTTTCCTGCTGGTGTTCTAGTCCTGGTAGCTACCATAGTAACTTCTTTTTTTTTTCCCCTCTTGATTTAGAGAGCAAGCTAAGCGTAAACACAGAAGATAGATCCCTGGAGATCTCTGGTAGCGCAGACACAGAAATCGAATGCAGTGTCACGTCACTGACCCAGAGGGATTCTCAGTTAGCCATTACCTGGTACTTCCTACCGCCTTCTCCAGCTGATGCAGCCCCATTGCAAATCGTGAGGACCAACTACAGCAACATCCTGGACTACGGGGCAGAGTTCAGCTCTGCTATGCAGAAATCTAAATTCCACAGTGAGAGGGTCTCCAGCAACCTGTTCTGGCTGCGTATTCTGTCTGTGAATCACGGTGACCGTGGCAGGTATTACTGCCTGGTAGAGGAGTGGCTGTGGTCAGCAGACCGTGGCTGGTACAAACTTGGAAAGAAGGAATCGGGAAAGACCATGGTGGAGTTCAAGGTTTCAGGTAAATATGCTGTCCCAGAAGGGATCCCTGAAGCATGAGCTCAGCTTTCCTTTATCACCGCATGTATGGCCATAAGAAGCAAAGGCTGGATCCCCAGCTGCACTGAGCTCACGCTTGACACAGCTGCGGTGGGAGGCCTTCCTTAATCAATTATGCAGGGATTGCGTCTTCCAACCTCCATCATGTCCTCTCCCTGGCCTGGTGCGTCCTGCAGGCTGGAGCCCTGAGCCAGTGATTAGGAACCCTGTGAACACTGTGGTGCAGGAGTCACCTGCCCAAGTGAGCAGGTGGGGCTATGGAGGCAGGGGCTGGAGCCCTGGCTGAGCACTAAGGGTGGGAATTAGGACTTGCGGTAGGAGGAGCCCCGAGCGCCTCACACAGGAGCAGGTCACATGACTTCCCATCAACCCTGAAAAGAATGTGATTCCAGTTCTTAAATGGGGGCCCTTTAACAGGCATCCACACTGACCCCCTCCCCATCCCCCACACACACATACTGTATGGAGACCCAGATCAGCCTCGAACAAGCCTGTGTGTGTCTCTTTGAGCTGTGGAACACAGTCCCTAAATGAAAGCCTTTTCCGCTTGCCTCCCACACCAGAAAACAAGCTCCATGTTGAAAAAACAAACCACAGCATCACAGCCACTGAGAATGAGGACGTGACCATGAGCTGCCTCCTGCAGGGCCCTTCCCAACCAGCCTCTCTCTTCTCTGCCATCTGGTTCCATGGTATGGAGCATTCTGGGATGAAAACCCTGGTGAAAGTGCACTCCAGTGGCATGGTGGAATATGCTGAGGAAGAGATGGTGGAGAGGCTGCACCTTCGCCGCCCATCCGTCGGTGACTTCAGCCTGACGCTGCGGAGTGTGGAGCCGGGCGACGCTGGGGTGTACTGCTGCCAGGTGCAGGAGTGGCAGCAGGACAGCGGTGGCGCTTGGGTTCAATGGGCGTCAGAATTGTCAGGGTACACGACGCTCGCTGCGCTGCCTCCAGGTAACGCACCCCCCCCCCGGGACATTCCCAGTTCCCCTGCATACAACGTTCCCCATCTCTAGCTAACCTCTGCTGCGTCTCTGCAACGTTTCCGTGCAGCCAGGGTCAAGGGTTGCTGCAGGGTCCGGAAAGGGGAGCACAACTGGAATAGCAGAGATGACTGCAAGTTAGGGTTCAGTTGCACTGTCGGTTGCAGGAATAGCCTGCTGCAGGGAAGGGAGGCAGAGCTATGTTGGGGAGGTAGCTCAGAAGTGCGTGGAGTACCGCTGGCTGGTACGTACGGAACAGAAAAGGAGGGAGGAGGGCCCGCCAGCAGAAAATATACTTCACGATGCTTTTGTTCAGCAATCACCCAGTTCCCTGAAGCCTCTCTTCTCTCTCCTTGTGGTGATAGCTGGGTACCGCAAACTGTGGAGGGGGGAGGGGGTTTTGGGGTTTGGCCAGCAAGGTGCTGAGCACTGACTCCGATCCAGCAAAACACTTAAGCACATGCTGAGCTTTAAGCATGTGAACAACCCCACTGACTTCCAAGGGACTACTCTTGTGCTTAAGTGCTTTGCTGGATTGGGACCGAGCGCTCAATGCCTTGTGAGACCAAGCCCTCGCAGTCCTAACCTGAATCTTGGAGCTTGAGCCTGTGTTCTCATTAGGCTCAGGTTTTTTTTGGAAAAAACTCAGAAAAACCAGGGCTTTCATTCCGTTTGGATAAACTCTTGGGTGGTCATCTGAATCTCTAGAGATTGCAAAAAGCCCCTGGAAATCCCCTGGGAACAGGCTTTCTTGGTGATGCCTCCAGTCCTGTCTGTTTCCAGTGGGGCCAACTATGTGAACAACCTTTCTTTGGGGAGTAAACTGGGGTGTGTTCAAGGCCTGGACAAAATTCAGAAACGCAGAGGGATTCTGCAGCAATGAAACTGAATAAACAGAACCAAAGATTTCAAACTTGTTTAGGGAGGTGCTGAAGATTTGTAAAATGCATCACCCATCTGGGGTTAGGATCTCAGTATCCTCGTAACTGGATGCTAGCTTTCTGTGGTACCGGGTTGTTTCTTTCACTAGCTGTTCCTTTATGTGTATTATTTATTAACCCTCGTTGTTGCTGAGTGAAATATAGTAATTGCTGAAAAATTGCCATGGAATTTGCATATGTATTTTAGCCAAGTAGTTTTGCATCCTCAGTGTTTAAATTTCTACAAAATTCCAAGAGACTGGATATTTTTCACTGCGAAGCACACAAACTTGGAAGTGCCACTCACTTGAAAAATATGTGTGTCCTGGTAAGGATGCATCCCACAGGACATGTGATCTAGAGGAATGAGCTAGATATCTTAAATTCTAGACCCTCTGTTAACGCTCCCTGGCCTGAAGAATTCTTACATAGTACTTTTACTTTTATGAGATGGGGTAAATTCCTCCCATTTTACAGATGAAAGAATTGAGCCTCAAAGTGATGAAGTGACTTTCCCAGTGAAACACGGAAAGTCAGTGTCAGAACCAAGACTAGACATCAGGTTGCTTGACTCCTAGGTCCTGCCTAACTCACTAGACCACATGGGCTTTCAGATTAATCACTTTCTGAACAATCCTAGATCAAAAAACCAACATATACAGCCCCAAACTCATGAACAACCCTATAGCAGCATGCCTGGGTGTTTATGGGATAAAGGGGAAAATTAAAGGCAACAAACAAAGATACTTAGAATACACCAAAGGGACCATTCTGATCATCTGTGCTAAAGCAGGCCAGAGATGACATTTCTGTGGCCTGCATTATGCAGGTCATTGGAAACTGCTGATTTGCCAAACCTGAAAGTTTATTGTGAAGGGTGTGAGAGGGAAAGAGAGACTCACCCGATTGGTTGAGCTGGGATGTGGAAGACCTACATTCAAGCCCCTGCTCTGAATAAGGAAAAACAGGGACATGAATGTAGTTCTCCCATGTCTTGTGCATCCCAGGTGAGTGCCATAACCACTGGGCTATTAGCTATAATCCCCCATTAGTGCTGTGAATATTGAACAGCAGGAGGAGTAAGTACAATTAGTTGCGGTGTTCAATTGTTTTCTGTTTTTTGCAGAGTCAACAATTTCTTCCAGGATCTGTTCATCTCCATCACTGCTCCACTTCATCCTAATCTACCCCCTGATTCTGTTCCTTGGCCTGACAGCTGCTCTCCTCTACTTGTATGTCAAGAACAGGCAAACCCACAAGGAATCGATCTATCAAAGGAAAGGAAAAGAGCTGTGGGTGGATTTGAAAGGGGCTGGAGATGTTGAGCCCACTTATTCTGACCATAATAATCTGGAGGAAGAGATGAATAATCTGAAGGAGGAAAAGATGGACTGAATGCTTGGGCGGCATGGGGGCGGGGGGAACAGCACTGTGTGCTGCTGTTCAGCATCATATGCTCTGAACCTTGAAAATGTGCATTTTCCTTCAGTCACCTTCATGCGGCAAAGTAAGAAAGTGATAGGAGACAGATTGGATGGCTAAGGTAATTGGGACTGGAGCTTTCTTGCCTCTCTACTTGCACAGGTGCCTATGTGGCTCTCCTCCCACAATGGTAGTTTCGGAGGCCTTCATAATATTAATCAATTTATCCTTACAAAAGCCCTGTGAAAAAGGAAAGTACTATGCCCATTTTACAGATGGAGCGTTGAGACACTGAGAGATCAAGGCTGAGATTTCAAAGGGATTTGGACATCTAATTCCTGTTAACTTTAATGGGAATAAGGCATCTAAATTCAAGATGCGACTTTGAAACTCTCAGCCTAAGGGACTTGACCAAGGTCCAGCAGGAGGGCTGTGGTAGAGCTGCGACCTGAAACCACATCTCCCAAGTCCTAGTCCAGTGCCTTAGCCATCAGACCAACTTTCATCTTACATCGGCTGGCTCTGGTGCAGCGGTCAGTGGCTAGTGGCTAAAAGTCATTACCAACTACTTCCTCTTGAATGGTCTATGAAAGATGAATTGGTGGATCTTAATCCAGTTCTCAGGGGAAAGGAGTCCTCACATCAATAATCACAACTCCAGCCGGCACCAGTTGGCCTCCTTGTTGGCAATCATATCTGAGTGGGCCTTGGAGACTGGACTCCCCTCCCCTTTCAGAGAGTGGTCCCTCCAGGTCAGGAGAGAGGCACAGTGGCAGACCAGTGGGGATGGGAGGGAGGGGAATCTAGAGTAGTTCCTATTTTGGGGCCTCCAAAGTGCATAAATAGAGGCCTTCACCCTCCAACGCTGTCCATCTAGTGTATTTCACCAGCATTAAATTCACTCCAAAAACGTAAATGTAAAAAGCCCCTCTATTTCCCATCCCATCCCACCCTCAACTGTAGTGGAACACCTCTGTCCAATGCATGCTATGAATACCCCTCTTTCTGCTAGCCGCTCAGTGCAAAACGACCTGAGGGCCCTGCTCCATCTGCTAATTAAACCCCCAGTTGCACCAGCTATGGCCTGGAACAGAGCTATATTAGGTGAGGGCTGGCTGAGACCGAAAAGATGTCCATGTGGAAAACACCAAGCACCTTGGAAAGGTGTCCGAGAAAAGGTCTTCTTGTCTCAGCAAGGGAGTTATATGGAGCTGGGGATCACAGAAACAAACAGCAACTGCCAGGCTAGCTCAGTGTCACTCATGTAATCACTTTAATGTGCCAGTCTTTCTATTTCCATCCTTTTATTGGTTGACTCTGGAGAAAGCTGCATCTCACTCCCCATGGCTGGCAGGATGGCTGGGATGATGCATCATCTTTCAGCAATGACTTTGGCAAAATGAATCTCCAGTTCTTTCAGTGCAATGCACTATATGTCCAGACTAGCCTCTAAGCTGCTTAGGGCAGGGGCTGAGCACATAACTAATACATAAGTGGGAAATCGGGAGATCCTGGAGCTGTCTGGCAGAGTTTCAACTGTGATTCTGCTACCACATGGCTACTCCCACCAGGCTACACTGGTTCTTTGGACAGCAGCATTCAGAGCCAGTCAGGCATGCCTCAGAGCCCGGCAGCACAAGAAAGAGAGAGATCCCAGAGGTTCTAACCTAAATATAGAGAATGTCTGGTCTGTCTGTTCTTTACACTGAATGGACAGATGGACCGACAGAACTACGGTCTTGGAACACTACCCATGTGTATGTGATCACTGATTTCTCTTCTCCTGCAATATCACCTGTGCCCTGATTCCCCGCAGTTAGTGTTAATTCTTATTAAAACTAAACAAACAGGGTTTTTATTATATCTGCCTTACAATTTCATTTTTCAAACCATACACTCAAATAAGCATTAAAACCAAATAAGGATTGGTTGGCTCAGGGGACTGGTACTAATGGAATATGGAGCCTTTTTTCTCTAGGTTGCTGGCTCCAATCCAGATCCATCTGGTCTCGATTGAAAGTCTCTGCCATCTGAGTCGTGCTATGAATTGTGTGTGTGTGAGAGAGAGATTTCAGCCCAGTTGTTAGTGGAGAAGTGCGTCCGCTTCCCAAACCCCTCATCACAATTTGCAGTAACTTTGGTTGGCATTGGGCCACAGTCCCAGTGGGTGAGGCACATTAGCAGGGGATTGTACTGGGGGCGGCTTGCCCTGCTGCTACACATGCTAATACCTATTTTATAGACAAATAGGTGCCAGTCTCCAGTTTCTGATGGGAGAGATGTGAGGGCGTTAGAAGCCCAGTGACCGCTGGGCTTGTTGCATTCTTACTGGTGTTTAAATAGCAGATCCTAACATCCCATTGGCACAGTAGCCTCCTGGAGAATTCCACAGCCAGGCCGGGTGGGCTTCTTTGCTGTCATCTGGATGTTTGTTGAAAATGTTTTGAAATCTGCTAAAATAAAACCGATTGCACCTGGTATATCAGTGTTTATTCCAGAGGGAGGAGTGGGGGGTTATTCCCTTCCTATTGCCACCTCAACTTTGCCTGACTAGCTACAGGCCAACCCTTACAGCACTTCCTTCATCCCTGGGTTGGGAGGCTTAATTAAAGCTTGTAAAGTGCTCTGAGAGCCTTGATTAGGTGGGGCTAGAGAAGCACAACACTTTGTTGTTTTGAATTTCCTGGCTTTGCTGAGTTTCAGCCAAACCTTTGACTTTATTTTAACAAATTTGATTTTCTTCTGCGAGTGAACTGACTTATCGCTCCTAAAAAACTCCAAAACGTTCCTGTTTTTAAAGCGACCATTTTGCCTAGCACTGTGTGAGAAGGAAAGAGACAGAGGGCTGCCAGAACCCTACTTAGCACAGGAATGGAAATGGGGGAGGAGCCAACTTTGTGCATCCCCCGGTGTAACTGAGCCTCCAGGCTTCTCTAACTTACGTTTAGCTGCACCTGCCCCGTAGGGAGCGTTGCAGCAACTAAGAATAATCCGAGAGTGTAACAGTGCTTCTGCCCCTCCATGCTTTCTGTCCCGCCTTGGGAATTCCCTGGGCTAGGGATGTAACATGGTGGGCCGATCTACTGCCTTTATGCTCCTTTGACACCATAAAGCAGCATAACGGTGGGGATGTTAGAGGGCAATGGAGAGTGCGGCCAAAAGAAATCAGTCCGCTGTTAGTCACGTTTGTAAAAGCTGCCATAGAAATAAGCTCATCAGAGCAAGATGGGAAGTGAGCCTGTATCTCTAGACTTGCCTGTCGGTACAGAAAGAGAGAAATCCAGGGAAGGTTTTCTTCAGTGAGTGATTCCCTGTTTTCCAAGCTCTCTTTCATGGGGTGTGAGGAAGAGGGAATTGGGCTTGGAGGAAGCGAGGTGGAAATGGTAGTGGGAAGGAGAGAGCCAGTTCGGATCAAACAAACAGACCCAGCCCTTCAGCGGTCAGCCCTGAAGTTCAGCTAGCGATTTGCAAGCTGCGTTCCCTTGTTGCAGTTGATAGTGGCAAGCTGCCTTTGGAGAGAAGCAGAAATGCCACAATGGAGATCAGTTTTACATGCTGCCACCCCAATGGATCTTTCTCAGGGTGGGGCAGATGATCACGGAGGGTTAGAAAGAAGCTGTGGGGCACTGGGTGCCCTGGACTGCAAAGCTGAGGAGGTAGGTGAGCAGGGTCTTGCACTCGGCAGGGCAGCGCTGGGTGCAATTTGCCATGTTGGTGAGTGGGTAGGCAGGTAGTGCATCCTGGAGCTGATAGATCAGTATTTGCTTCCCTGCCATACAGAGCTGGCACTAGGCATAATTTCTAAGCAATTGGTTAGGGCCCTCAGCAGCTCAAGGCTCACCCCCCCATTCACTTTTTATTGTAAGAACTTCCCTGTTTTAGTGGGGCGGGGGAGGCAAAATATTCCTGCTTAGGGCCCCCAATGGGCTAGCACCAGCACTGCTGCCATATTCAGGAACCAGTGAAAACATCACCAGCATGCTTCCATGATAGTGCCAGACACAGGGCTGTTGGAAAAGCTGCTGAACCTTCAGGTACTTCTCAGAAACAGCCCAGGGGGTTTCCTATTGCCCACCTTGTAGTGTGTCCCTCTGGGCCTGTCTCAGCTCCTAGGCCAAGTATGGTCTCTTGGTTCCTTCCCATCAGCTCTCCGGATATTTTGAAATAGGATTTGTTTTCGTTCCTGTGATGAAATGTTTTAAACCGCCAATAAAGTGTCACAAACAAGGGCATGGTTTGGAGTCTGCTTTGGTCTTACTCAGACTTTCAACATCCTGGGCTTGGTTTCCTCAGCCCCCACTGGTCTGTCGTTCAGGGAGACCTTCCGTTTATTAGACCTTGGAGCACCAAGGCAAGTAGATTCTTTCCTGAGACTCCAACACTTTCTCGGCCACCAAGCAAGTGCTTCAACCCCTCGCAAGGGCTGATCCCTTCCTCCCTGCTGCTGGAGGAGAATTGGAAATAACTTATTTCAACTCTCTGTCACTTCCCCCTACAAACCCGGCTGATGTTCTTGTTTTTCCTCCGATCAGGGCACCATTGCACTGGGCACTCTATGCACATGCAGTAACAAGACAGTCTCTGCTCCTGCGAGCTCACAATCTAGGTTATGACAAGATGTAACTGGTGGACACAAACAGGGTAGGAGGGGAGAAGATGCAGTGACAGGAAAGTACCCTAGTGTTTGCACAACACGCAGGAGGTCCTAGTTCACCACTCACCTAGCCATTGTCAATTATTTCCTGGCTCACCTCCCGCTGCTGGTTTTCAGGTTGCTGGTCAGGTGAAGCGTCAACAATATGGAGGTCAGGAGACCATGCCTGTGGGGCTCAAGGAACACTTTCTAGTAATGAACAGACCACAGCCACAAGTGTGAGAGCCTAAGAGAGCTAGGTGAGCTGCAAATAACTGCCTTGTGGCTGTGCTCAGGCTCCCAAGCCGTCTGTGATGTTGTTGGCAGTGTGTCTTATTCCAATAAATAATCTCACATAGTGCACAGGAGGCTAACTGGAGCCCAGGCACATTATTCCTACTGGCTAGAAATGCCTGCGAACAGCTGAGGTGGTGATAGTGTTGCACCTCAGCAGAGAGGGCTGAGAAGTGCTCCTGAGCAGGGAGAAGTTATTTCTGGAAGCTGGTAACCTAGAGCTCTGGGTCGCTCCCTGCAAACCTGTCTCTCTGTGATGACTAAAAGGCAGATGTACATGGCAAAGAAATCCTGATGGGAGCGTTGTGATGCTTCAATACACCTTGGCATTGGTCTCTGGAAAACTGAAGGAAAGGGTCATTTTTGTTTCCTACCCCTTGGATTGATTTTCTGTTACAGCCCTGAGAATATGAATCTACAGCTCCTTATCCTCCCTCCCCACAGCAAGCTCTCCTAGCTTCCCCTCCGAGGCTGCTGAGTGCTCCCTCTTGACCAAAGACCTAGGCTCCTTTCCAGCTGCTAGTTCTCCAGATCCTCCCTGAAAGCCGCCCTGGTGCAGGTATACTGGCTCCTATTGGTCCAACAGGAAATGCTGCTGGTGGTGGTACTAGTTGCTCTCCTGGTTCACCGGTGGCAAAAACAGGGTTTGGAAGTGCCCAGACCGGGTGCGTTTTGATCAGCTGCTAGTCTCCTGTGTTCCCAATAGATTAGGGCAAGCACATTGGCAGAGTCAAAGAAGTGATGCGTTTCTGATGTTTGACATTCATGTCCATCCAGGGTGAGAACATGATTTGATCTTTCCTTACATGCCAGCTTGGTAATGACAGTTTTCCAATGACCTTTGTCCTGCCTTGCACCATCCTGAGTACCAGCAAGCAGCAGTGTGAGTGGGTTAGCACAATAGGTCTCAACCTTTTTGATACCAGAGACTGGCTTGCTGCTTTCCTAAACTGTGGCAGGGAGATCTCAGGGACTGGCACCGGTTCATGGACTGGCCGTTGAGAAACACTGGTTTAGCTCACTTGTGCAGTGATGTTTTCATTTCTGTTTGCCTCTCTCCCTGTGGTAGCTGGTGGCACTGCACTAGCTGGTCTCACTGAACTCCGTAGCAAAACTCTCATTGACCTTGGTGAGATCAGGACATGGCCTATTGAACAACCAGACATTGGTTCGGCAGCAGCTGTCTGGGCAGATGACTTAAAGTTGTCATGAGGAGTGTTCAGATTCTTAAGTAGACAGAGTTAGGAGCCATTGCCACTAGTTGTGGTTGGGAAGATGTCTGGTATTGGAAAGGAGTGGAGCTCTCACTCTGCTCTACCCTAGGGCGCCTCCCCACATCTCTAGACTATGCCCTCTAACTCAGGAGTGGGCAAACTCAAGGGTGCGCATCCGACCCATCACACCTTTTAATGCAGCCCTCAAACTCCCACCGGGAAGCGGGGTTGGGGGCTTGCCCCACACTGCCTGCCTGGTGCTCCCTAGCCCCCTACTCACACTTCCTGGATGAGCACCATCTTCCCACATGCAGAGCCACACCACTTACCAAGACTTCACCACGCTGTTTCCAGGATCGGAACCCTGCCCCTACCCGGCACTGCACCCAATCCCTGAAGAACCAGCTTCCGCCCAAACGAACCAATGATTAAGGCAGCAGCATCGCAGGATACCACCCCTAATCGAGTCCAATTAGAAACCCCGAGCTTCATCAACCAATCCCCGAGGCACCACTCCTCTGAGAGACTCACCTCATTCCTCATCAGCTAATCACCGTGGCCGGACCCTCCAGGTCTCCTACGGCTCTCAAGACTCTCGAAACTGCCCAGGGGCCATACACGTCCCAGCTAGGGTGCCTCCTTCTGTGGCTGTGTGTGGTATGGCTGCCTTGGTGTCACTGCCAGCAGGACCCCTAGGAGTCCCCAGTACCACCCCTATAGAGCTCCCCCTCCCCCCGGGCCACACCCCATAAATCCCCCTCCCCCACCTCAGTAACATCCCTTATAGGGCACCCCCCCCCCCCGCCTCATGCCATGAGTCCTCCCGCCGCACTTCGGTAACATCCCTTAACTTTGTGAGAATTCAGGGCCCGCCATGCAATTTCCATAGCCAGATGTGGCCCTCAGGCCAAAAAGCTTGCCCACCCCTGCTCTAACTGAATACATTCTAAAATCCACCACTTCACAGGTGTCACAAGTAGGTGAGTATCCGAGGGGTAGCCGGGTTAGTCTGAATCTGTAAAAAGCAACAGAGGGTCCTGTGGCACCTTTAAGACTAACAGAAGTGCTTCTGTTGCTTTTTACAAGTAGGTGAGTCTCCCAAAGGTTCCCAGCTAGAAATGCAAACAGGAGAGCCACCCTGAGGCCAGGCAGCACAAGCTTCTGCTATCCAAACAGGGAACTCAAAACCATAAATGAGAAGTTTGAGGACGAGCATCTATTTATACTTTGCACAACTTAGATGGTTGCTTTACACCTTGTCATTTACATTGCGAGGGAGATGTACACATTTATAAATGACTGCAGCAGGGAAAGGTCCAGATAAAACCAGCTCCTTCCCAAAAGCCCTGGAATGAGAGTGCTGGCAAGCAGTACAAACAATTACAAAACATTCACCTCCATTTGCAACCTCATTGAAAATAATTCAAGTGTTTGTTCGTAACTGGCAATGTGCTTGTTACGTCTGTAACTTGACAGGAGCAGGTTTTGTGCCAGAGACGCTCCAAAAGGAAACGTGTTTTGGGGAGGGGCTCCTGGCACAAAGGGCCTTATATATTCTCCTTTCACCCCTGGAGACCTCAGCTCACATGAAGTGAATTTAGTGCTCGCGCCCTAATCTCTTTATTTGCAAATATTGCCCAGCTAACCCAGTATTTTGGCTGGCACAATTTGATAGGACTCGAACGGCAGAGAATACTGTGAGGTTGGACTGATGTCCATTTGACAAAGCTGGGTGATTATTCTCAGGCCAGGATTAGTGGGAGTTACTGAGAGGCACTGGCACAGCTGAGTGAGGGCCACGGCCTGGGATCGCATAAGAACATAAGAGTGGCCATTCTGGGTCAGACCAATGGTCCATCTAGCCCAGTATCCTGTCCAGGTGCTTCAGAGGGAATGAACAGAACCAGGCAATCAGCAACTGTGGCCCATTCCCAGCTTCTAGCAGCATGTGTTGCGGTGCATTGATGGAGCTGTGTGTGTGAGGCCCTGATCTACCCAGAGTTTTGTTAGCCCCTCAATTTCATGAACACCAAATTCAGTTCAGAATTATACAAAAGGAAAACAGCAATCCCATATCAACTGTAAACTATGAAGGAAAAAAATGCTTCTCTGCTTCCATTTTGCTCAACACAAATGTACACAGGCCTGGAGGGGAGAAGAGATATTCAGAGTTTTGGATGTGGCTCAGGGTGGTAGTGAGTGACCAAAAGTAATTATCTAATGGCTGTTCAGTGGCCTGTGAAATTAATTTGGTGGGGCTCGGTGCAATTCTTAGTGGGCAGGATTTCTTATAAGAAGAAAATACACCAGCACCATATCTGAGGCTAATCTATAACTCTTGTCAACATTCTCTCTGCAGGCCCAGGGAGACTGAATGGACCAGGTAGCCTGAATTCACAGGTCAGGATTGAATCCTGTGGATGACGGGGGCCAGCACTGTCTTTTCTGTACCAGTTCTGCAGATAGAGTGAGCACTGCCATTTCCACGGGTGCCAACAGAGCATGAAAACTGACAGGCGGGGGGGAAACGTATTATTTCTTTAAAAGCTCATGGGAACGAATCCGTGAATACCAAGAGCGGTATGGAAAGATACCAGGGGCACCAACTCTTTGTGTCCTCCTTATCTGGTGGTAATGCCAACAAGAGGCATGCTGTCGAATTTCAAAGAGAAGGGCCATGACCAATCAGTGTGAAACGTGTCAAGAATGCCTCACGCAGTGGCCACGGGATAAAAGGCCGCACCAGGCTGAACTGTAAGACTTCTCATTTCTCCGGCAATGAGTGAGACACTCTGTGGCAATGAAACTGGAGCGAGCGAGACTGAGAGATTCTAATTGCTGTTCCCACTTCTGCTGCTTTGATCTGAGGCAATGCCCATTTTAAATTGCAAACGGCTGTCAGTCAGATACCATCCAGCCACTGGCTTATGAAGTGGGATGTACACTTCAGACAGATAACGTTATGAGAGGCAGGAAATCCAGAGAGGAACGACTGAAGGTCTGAAATGATGGGAACTCTGCAGCGTAGCTCTCATTGGCATCAACGTGGGCTGTGTCGCACACATCCCCCCTCACCACTCT